ACTAACCGAAAATATAACAACCTGTCAATTAATAAAGAGTTCCAGTTTTTAAAAGTACATTTTGGGTGCAAGTCAGAATTCTCTGCTCTTACACCGTGGTAACATTTTACACCTGTACCATACACATGTAAGTTACTGTCCACTGAACTGTACCTTGAGCAGTCAATGCCCATGGTTTTTTTAGTCCCTCCTGAATAGGAACTAGTATTTACCTAGTGATACAGCCAGTGCTTCAGTTAATCCCAACCAAAACTAATATTTATACTGCATCTGGTAGCGCATGAAATTGAAGACCTGCTAATCAGCAGTAAGTTTTTGCTCTGCTTTCAAGTAATATGCCTTGCACCCTTTAGATTCAGGAATAGTTACCAATCCCCTATAAAATCTTCCACAGCAAAGTCCTATCAGCGCAGGCTAATTTTAAGAGTGATTGTCCAGTAGAGGAAGGGTAAAAGTATCCAAAAGCATCTAAGCGACTTCGGAGCTTACACCCTGTTTTCAGAAGTGACTTAGGCTCCTACATCATTTAAAGTCACATTTGAAAATGGGGTGCAAGCTCCAAAGTTACATAGGTGTTTTGGAATTTTTTTATCCTAAGCGTAACAGGAAAATAGCCTTGGTGAAAAACGGCATTGTTTAAAAGGGTGAGAAATGACTAGGCATTAAAACTGCAGCAAGCAGGTTTGGAGGAGAGAAAGCATAAGTAAGGCTGCAGTATTCCTTCAGATAAAATTCCTTGTCCATCAGCTGCATTCAAAAGATGTTGTACGGAGAGAATAGCTTTCAATTCTGCTCAAAACTTGGCAGTGTATCTAATATAGTTAACAAGGGAGGAAATGGGTGTGGATGTGTATATATTAATACACACACACACACACACACACACACACACACACACACACACACAGTCTTACATACAGACACCAAACCAAACCTTTCAATCAAGAACTTACTATTTTCACAAACAGAAGAGGGTTCTCTCCCGACCTCCCGCTCGTATGTCAGCTTCCAATTCAGCACACTAGCTTCTTTTCTGGCCAAAAGTTACTCATGCAAATAATCCCACTGAATTCAATGAGAGTGGTAGGTGCTCAACATCTCTGAAGATCAGATCATGTGTGTGTCTTCCTTACCTTTCCTTTAGGTGTAACATCACCAGCTAAAGTAGAGGAAATCTAGAGTCCTGAACTCAGGTCCTGGCTAGTAAGGAAGAGAATAAATTATTTTCCAAGTAATTTGTTTCAAAAACATATCGACCTGTTAATTTTTAGGTCTATGCAGTGTTCTTTTAATTATTCCGAGTCTTTACCAAAAAAAAAAAAAAAAAAAAAGGTCAGTCCTATAAGGCCTTTGTCTTAGAAACAAACACACACACACACACACAGAGCGCGCGCAAGCCACCTGGAACATTAAAAGGAACAGTTCCAGAATCCTGAATATTGAGCAGGAACCTTGAATATCTAGTAGGTCACTTCCACAGCTTCCAGTTGTTCCTATTTACTTTCTTCAGGAGAAGACAGCTATTTGGTTAGGTATTTCTAAGAAGTCTCTCACCATACTAGGTGTCTTGTTTCCTCAAACTGCAGCAACTGATAACAGCCAAGAAGGCATCTGAGCTCAGCACTGGCCAAGGAGAGCTGGCTTACCTCCTAGCTAGTGAAAGTATTCAGAGGGACTTTTGTAAAGTCACATGACTTTATGATCCAAGGAGCAGGACATATGCTGAAGTGAAAGAAAAATTAAATCCCCTCCCTTCCAGTAGAAGTGATTAACACCATGTCTCTTTGCATCTGAAAATTTTGTGCAAAAAGGAGTGTAAGCTGCTGTCCTTTATGGACCCCTTGTCAGAATCACATGCTCTCTATGTATGTTTTGGTATTTGGAAGCAGGTGATCTGACTTCAGAATCAATAAGCATCAATCTAAACCGGTCATTCAGAAATCTCTCTGAAACTTCTGAAGTTCAGTGTTATTTTGATATACACAAAGCAACCATGTAACTTGTCTAAATTACTTTCTTGTAGGTGAAGGGAAAACAAGAAATCAAAACAGAAAAGTCAAGTCTCCAGGAGATCTCCATGAGAGCGTGTGAACAGAGCATTTTTCTTCTATAACACATCGTCTCACCTTTTGTCCCCAAGATGGCAGCTGCCTCTACAGACAGGAGACATCTAGTAGTGTCGGAGCACACAATATGGTCTACTCATGATTTTAGAGATAACCCCCCCCACCCCCCCAATAGGAAACTTTAATGCCCCAGAGTCATGTTACTGTAAGAATCTCAGCTTTTGAAGGGGAAATTTTTTTTCCTGAGCTTTTCTCCCTAACTAAAAGGGCTAAAAACATGAATCCTAAAAACCACAAGGCAAATAAAGAGCCTTAAATGTATTGGGTTTTTTAAGCCAATCTCACGATTTTGAGAGGGCCTGACTCATGATTTTTTAAATGTTTGGCATTGGTGGTACAGACAGCAGTCAGACAAAGGCCTAGTTGTGTCTTACTCACACACTACTCTTTTCAGTAGTAGTAGTTTTTAATACTTATTTTTAGTGGTGTGGGAGGCTGCATGTATGGCATGGCTGGGAGCATCTGACAGGATGAGCATTTAGCACTGTGTGGGATAATGAAGATGCACTATCAGAGACAAGAGGCATGCACAGAAAACACACTGAAGATGTAAGTTTGATGCAAGAACACGAGTTCATGAATCTATTTAACTTAATCTTAAAACTAACAAAGCAAGAAACAGACTTCTCAATACAGAAACAAAAGCCTGTTAGCGAAATGAAGTGTCTTGATGCTATCTACCTGCAGTAATTTCTTCCAACTAGTCATCCTTACCTTTAACACAGAGAAGGGGGTGGAAGCTTGTATTTTAGAGATCTCCGGATCCTCTTCCTTCACAGATCCTTCCCTGCCAAGGTAATTCTTTCTTAGTCCCCTTCCCTCCCCTATATAAAGGGTTTATGAAAGGAGAAAAACTCACTGGTAAATGGAGCAGATCCACCCCATCCTCTCACAACTTGAAGAATTAAAAAAACCCCAAACAAACAGCCATAGAGCTGCACCTCGTATCCTGTTACAGTTGCTGACAACTGATTCCCTCCAATTGCCAAACCAACCTTGCACCACCCAGCATGGCCACTGAAGTGGGCGGTCATGGGGGACAAGACCAGTAGCAGCAGGAGGTACACCACACTCTTGTTCCAATTTCAGTTCCTCATTGGGTTGTTGTGGTTTACCTTCTACAGGGTTTTCATTTACATCATCTTCCCATGAATAGTAATGACTGGGAAGGGACATGGTCACCAGCTTCCATGTCTGTGCTTTTCCCACCTTTTCTTGGCACCTTTACCCTGGAACAGCTGGTCAAGATGCTTCTTCATTATCTCCACTTTTACTTCTACCAGACAAGGCCCTTCGTTTCAATAAGACTAAGTGCAGTGTGTTAAGTACAGTGGTGATCCTGAACTGAATCTGAACAGCTGGTCTGTACTATTCTTTTGGGAATAGTGGATCTAAAAGTTATGGGAGTGGTCAACGGAACAACAGCTGAACATTGCCATGCTAAATATATATATATATATATTGTGACAGACCCAGACCAGTGGGGTACAGGAGTCTGGTAGAGGGCAAATATACTGGTCACTGGATGAGTAGTTTTCTGTTCCCTGAGTGACGAGAGCAGGGGCTGCACTAGAGTAATCAGGAACCTGCTAGAACCAGTTAAGGCAGGCAGGCTAATTAGGACACCTAGAGCCAATTAAGAAGAAGCTGCTAGAATCAATTAAGGCAGGCTAATCAGGGCACCTGGGTTTTAAAAGGAGCTCACTTCAGTTTGTGGTGTGAATGTGAGGAGCTGGGAGCAAGAGGTGCAAGGAGCTGAGAGGGAGAGGGAGAGGGAGAGGGTGAGGATGAGGATGAGGGTGAGGGTGAGGGTGTGCTGCTGGAGGACTGAGGAGCACAAGCGTTATCAGACACCAGGAGGAAGGTCCTGTGGTGAGAATAAAGAAGGTGTTTGGAGGAGGCCATGGGGAAGTAGCCCAGGGAGTTGTAGCAGTCATGCAGCTGTTCCAGGAGGCACTATAGACAGCTGCAGTCCACAGGGCCCTGGGCTGGAACCTGGAGTAGAGGGCGTGCCCGGGTTCCCCCCAAACCTCCCAATTGACCTGGACTGTGGGTTCTTCCAGAGGGGAAAG